GCTGGCTCGCGTGGCTTTCCCATTCCTCCCTGCAGTCATTGTCACCCTGCGTCCTTTATTTTTAGTCCTAGGCATTGGCACGATGGCTTTGGGCAGAGCTGGCGAGGTGTGGAGTCATTAGTAGGCGGGCGAGCCAGACATCTGATACACGCTTTCCTATAGAGCACCCTGCGAGTCACAGCTTTGTTCCCAGTTTGGTGGCACGGGATCTGGGGGACCGTGATTGAGCGTGTAGCAAGCGCAGTGACGGAGCTCGACGCGCGTGCCGGCCTTGTGGAGTAGTGTCAGAGCCCCGGGGTCAGCAGATGGGGTAGCGTTTGAACCGGACCGTCTGTTTTCACGTACGGTCCTCCACTTGTCAACAGCACAGGCGTACCTGGTACGGTTTGCTGTGGTGGGGACATCCTATGGCTGATCAGCTTCACTGCACGCTGCCTTCTCGCAGGGGCTGGCTGTGGCTTTGTGCTAAAAATGCTGCTGGTTTGCGCGTGTCAGCTGAGAAGAGGTGGCTGCCTGCTCTCCCTGTGCTGAGCGCAGAGAAACGTCGCTTTTCTTTGATCACAGGTGGGGAAGATCCATCTTCTCACAGTTGATGTTTGCACTTCCCCAAATAACTTGCTTCTTGCTTTGAAAACTGATCTGGAGATCTCGGGGGGGGGGGAAAGCTTGGAAAATCCCCGGGTTTTAAAGGTGCTTGGAACAGATGCGCTAGCTTCTGCACAGCAGAAGCAGCGAGATGCAGCCCCGTAACTCAAAAGAAGGGTGGCGTAAAAGCATTAGGTCTGGGAGAAAGGCCTCTTTCGAAATGCACGAGACGTCGTCCGGCTTCTGAGCAGGCTTTGGCGTGCACCGCGCCGCCAGGCCGGGTGCTAGGCAGAGTGCAGGGAGCCTGTTAGAGAGGCGTGGGTCAGGCCTGTTAAATAAGCAGACGGCGAAGCTCAGGGCCATGCTTTCTTCCTCTAGCCTGAATTACCTCCGGTAAAGAGACGGTTTTTACTCTTCCCTCACCTGAATGCCAGTTTGTGACTGGGAAATGTGGGGGCTGGGAGCGTGGGTGATTCTGCCAGTCGTGTTCTCACTTGGAGAAAACTGTGAGCCTGCTTCCTTCTGGGTGGAGAGGGGGGAGTTTGCTTCCCGTTAGAGGCATCCGGGCAGAGGGCGCTGCCTGAGTGTGATGGAGCTGGAAGCAGAGGGGGGGGGTGTCCGGCCTGGGCCGGGGGGGGGCTGTCGGATCTGAG